TTACCAAAACATAACATGTATCACTTAATGATGGAATCTAACGGTCGTTACAGCCCGGACACCTAAAATGATAATGTTTGACATATGGGTGATTAAAAAAAAGTTTAGGCACCTATAGAGAAAATTAGTATAACTTGGGCAATTATTTTATAATTAAGCCGAAAAATAATATGGTATAATTAAGCCAAACACAGCGTCTTGAGTTTTTAAAAATTAAATTAATATAATTATTATTTGATACGCCAGTGATAGAGTTATTTTTTAATTTATTTAATTTATGAATTATTAGTTGAAATTCTGTAAACTGTTTTATCCATTATGCATTTTTAATTAATATTTAAATAATTAATTAATAATATATGACGCTAAATTAAAGTTGAAATAATTGTCTTTAGTTTTTAATATATTTCATTTTGGATCAGAGTTTCAAATCGCGATCGTATTTTCGGTCATTTCGGATTTACCGTGATTGCGATCGTCGCGGGCGCTATTACGGATTTAACGGATAACTCAGACGGCGGCGAAACCGTTATTTTACCGACTCTATCACATTTCCGGACCACGATTTAAAACCCTATTTTAGATAACAACTATTAAAAGTGGTGTAAAAAAGCTACAGTCTCACGTACTAATCCAACTCTTTCATTACCGCCAGTAATCTGAGATGAACCAATCCAATAATTAAATGCTTAAGTTGTTTTGTAGGTACCACTTCGATGGGACTACTCGACCATTTTTGAGGGTTGGTACCTTAAGGTATCAATCCCAGAACGACGAAAGCAGAGCTTTTGCTTCATGTACTCGGTTGAGAATCCTGCATTTAGGAAGAAACTGTAGCCATTAGAAACACTGTAGGACGGACCTAGATTTACAGGAGTTGGGGCTCAAATTCTTGGTGCTTATGACAAGTATATTTGCCAATCACTGAGGAATCTCGAGACTTTTGGGGAAGTATGTCTTCTTCTATGTTAGTTTTAGTTCACGGAATATAAGATTATCAGTGGGAATAAAAGATTATAAGGAAATAGGATTACTAGGAATGTTGTATTTTGTGTTTGGTTAATTTAACAGGAATGTAAGATTACCATGTTTGGTTAAAGGAATAAAAGATTATTTGAATGTATATTTTACCAAATTGTCCTTATTATATATTTGTTTTTTTAACAAGTTGGAAAATATTTATATATTTTCTTTAAAAAAAATTAAATTCATAAAATTTATATAATTTTTTTACAAAATTAAAAATATAAAAAGGTTTAATGAAAGGGTAAAATTTTATTTTAACCCCTAAATTTCATATAAAATTTTAATTATAGATTTTTTTTATAAATCTAAAATAGTTTAAGGATAAATTTGTAATTTAACTTTCGTAGAATTTTTATTATTCAATGACAGAATAAGGATATTTTTTAAAGAAAAAAAATTTAAGGGCATTTTAGTCCAAAACGCCGGTAATCCAACAATACCTAAGAAAAGGGAGGTAATGACATTCCCGGTAATATACCTCAAAAAATCCACTATCGGTAATGTAAGATTACCGAGAATGACATTCCCGGCCAACCAAATGGGAAATGTAGATTCTATTCCCATGAGAATCTCAGATTCCCCCAACCAAACACACCCTAGAATTTAGTAGTGGAAGTATGAAACTGCCGTCTGTTAGGAATACATGGTCACTTATTCTGTATAGTTGCTGCACCTTGTTGATTTCAGTGTAAAAGAGCATATATGCTGATATTCTAACTTGTTTTACCATGGAAATTTAACTTGATGTTGATCCATTTCAACCTCTTAATTTTGTTGCACTGTGATGTTTCATCCATTTTTTGCACCATAGCAACCTAATAACATGATATGGGGTGCTTAGGGCACAACATTGCGCGCTCCCACGGTAGAGGCCGGTCTTGCTCCTGCTTGTAAGGACACTTGTTCCGGTGATCTAACATTGAAGATCTGGGAGAAAAATGCTGGTGGCAGTAAGGGAAAGGTACGTTATCAGTACCTTGCCGAAAGTTATAAACCTATTTGCATCAGTTCTTGCTGACCAATGATCAGAAGAGTTTTACATCTTAATCCTACCGATATATCATGCTTCCCTGGAGGCTTGTACTCGCTGCAGGTGCATGTTTCCGATATGCAGCCAATCTTGGATGTTAAAAGTGACATGGCAGCACTAGAAGCAGGAGGAGGGCCATGGTTTAACACTTGGAAAGGCAAGACCACAACACCAGAGGTCATTGAAAATGCTCTCCAGGTCCCTGTTGATATGGGTCCGGCTCCATTTTTAAAACCCCCCGGACTATAACCGGATAAAGATCACGGTGGCATAGGTACGGAGCACACTTCTAAATGTTTATAGTTAAACGAATCCGATGTCGTTGGCGATGATCCATTGCCGTAAAATCATGTGTTGATAAAATGCAATGCCATTTTAAAGCATAAAATCACAATTTGTATATGGTAAAGGGTTCTACTATACAAGTTCTTGAGTAGTTTTTCATTTATAGGTCAATGCTCTGATATAGTTCGGTCGGGTGTAAGGTTGTAAACAAGCCGAGTTGAGTTTGAGTATTACTAAATTTGACTCAACTCGATATAGTTAAACGATATCGTAAGTGACGATCCATTGCCGTAAAATCATGTGTTGATAAAATGCAATGCCATTTTAAAGCATAAAATCACAGTTTGTATATGGTAAAGGGGTTCTACTATACAAGTTCTTGAGTAGTTTTTCATTTATAGATCAATGTTCTGATATAGTTCGGTCGGATGTATGGTTGTAAACGAGTCGAATTGAGTTCAAGTATTGCTGAGCTTGATTCAACTCGAAAAGTTCAAGGCTAAGTTCGACTCGACTATACTCGAAAGCTCGTGAGCTTAAAATTGTCAAGTTTGACTAGAACTCAAAATAAAAAAATTGAAGCTCGAACTTAAAACTTTCTCAAACTTAGTTCGATTAAAACTCAAACTAAAGTACATTAAAACTTTATATTGTATTTTTTTAAAAAATAGCATATAAATGTTAACATCATTAATAATTTATAAAAATAAAAAATAATATAGTTTGCTTTTCGAATCGGGTATCAAGTAGCTTGTTTCAACTCGTTGAGAATTCGAGTCAAATCGAACTCAAATATCTTGTGATCTATCTCTTCTCATTTACAACCCTAATTGAATGACAATATAGTTTCGACAAACCCGCTAACCAAATAATTATAATAATTAATATTCAATCAGTGTGAGATTTTACTTTACATTACTAACATTTTTAAGACCGGATGTTTATTCATCATCGACCGGGCTTCACCTGGTCTATTTTTTCTGTTGTTTTCATCACTAAACACAAACATAAAGATATGTTGTCACAGTAAATGTAGATGGTGAAGTTTTTATATGAAATATTATTATGATTCCGACAATAAAAATATGTTTATTATTTAATATATTGGAAAACACTGTTTGGTTCCTGGGAAAGACGCAAGAAAATCTTGGCTTCATTACGTTTCAGTCAAGAATCGACATGATTGGCAAATCTTCAGCCTGTCAGCATCAAATAGTCAAAAATTAAATTATGCAAATTGCTAGAAAATAAGATATTATGTAAGTATTTGTTCAAATATATCTTTTAATTTTTTAACACATGACGCTCATATCCCTGACATTTATGGTGTTCGAATTCGGATCTTCCAGGTATAATAACAATTCTTTTACCATGGAGACCACTTAGTTCGTACTCCATGATACATTATGAATAAGAGGTGAATGGTCATTTTTTATTTAATTATTGTATCTGATCGGATGATACATTAAGAATACAATAAGAAGTCGATATTCTCTTTCCATTGATAACATAAATTATATAAAATTTGTGTATGAATGGTGGTCGACGATGGTAAGCAGTAATCGATAGCAAAAGTTTTGAATGAAAATCTAATGTTGAGAGTTTTTAAGTTTTTTTAAGAATATAAAAAATGAATTAAATAAAAATTCGGAAATCAAATTAGAAATTAACCAGAGCTAATAATCAATGACCATATTTTTAAAATAATAATAATAATAATCCATTATCAAATTATAATAAATTGATAAATTAAGTGATCAAAATATAAAAAATTTATTTGAAATTGTTTCTAGTCGAATTGAGTATATAAAATTCGAATAAATTATAAATTTCATCATCCAATGTACTTCCCACTCTTATTATGGTCATGAAAGTTTAAGCATTTTCAGTTCACTAATTAAAGTTTCGATTTACTCCTATGTTGATCACTCGGGTGTTAGTCATGTGTGCCGATGAAGACTGTTTTTGTTGACATGAAATTCATGTGTCATTCACGTAATTTCTTTATTGTAATCTTCTTCTTCAAAAGATGAAAGTTTTACAATTTCATGTGTTACGCCGGTGCTGCAATTACCATTCTATAGCGTCTTTTCTGACCACTGAAGATATCGATGAACTTGCCTTATTGTTTCCTATCACTCTATCAATTTAAATTTTAGCTAAATCACTTTATAACTCATTAAACTCAACCTTAAACACAAAATTCGTGAAACCTAAAACCACTTTTATAAAACCTATCTTATCAACATGGAATCAAGATATATAGCTCGTTTGCTCCTTCACCTCCCCACCGTTATGATTTAAAAGAAAATGCTTTATCATTGAGAAATCAAAGGAAAATCGGAAATAAAAATTTTGAGTCTTTTTTTTTAAATGTTCAATTATAACATTGTTAAGTATTTCATGACAGAGTATAAGCAAAGCCATATATCAATCTTATTACTACTATATCAAAGGCATTCAACCATGAATAAACATTCCCAGAACCTTTACAATAACGAATGATGTCGTGTACTAATATGTCTAAGAACAGTACAAGTGTGATTTATGACCGGAAATAAACATGGTAAGTATAATTCATGACCACTGTATCTATTATCCTTCTTAGCAGAAATGAGCAAGTAATGTGTATCTGTAATAGGGGAAGCATATCACGGTAAAAACGATGTTACCATACTATTTTCCTTGCGTTGAAGAAGGAAGATACTCCTTTATTATCTCCTGGATCCTTTTCTTCATCATCTTATCCTTTACACCCGCGAGCATGTTTTGATAGAACATTTCCAGCCTAACAAGCTTGCTACGATCTGCTGACTCCAACATTCTTTCCCATTCCCCTGCAATATCAAAAGTGCCAGAGCTCTGCAATGAATTCGGGATATCTTCCTCTTCGAAAGGCTTACCAAAGATTGAACCGTGAAGTATGCTTGCATAACGTTCCATGGTGGAAAGTTTTGATTGTAGGAGTTTCATCTCTTCCATGGCCATAGATAACTTCTTCTCCATCTCTGAGTCTCCATCAGAACCCTTCTTATCAACAGTTTTATCTGGCTGGTTCAGCTCTTCTTGTTTGAATTCCTCGTTCAGTGGGGGCCATAGCACAACTGATGGGGCGAAGCAGTCAACGGTTTTGCCATTTCCAAGAACTCCACTCCTTCCCCTGCCCCAGGACCATAACTTGTATCCATCATGTGCAACAAGAACAGTATGTGCAGCTCCACAAGATACTTGGACCGGATCATTAAATTTAGGTCCATGTACTCCATCATCCGATATCCGCAGGGGAGAAATCGCATCTCCTGAATCTGTTCCTGTAAAACTAGGATCGGGGCATAGCCCTAGACCCTTTTCCATTCCCCATGACCACACATCTCCGGCTGATGAAACAACACTAGTGTGGAACAATCCGCAGTCAACAGAAACAAGATATATGGGCTGTGGTAACTCTTTCACAGGTTCAGGAACCAAGGCAGTTTGGGTGGTTCCATGCCCAAGTTGCCCCCTGTCGCCAAGGCCAAACGTCCAACACATACTCTCAACTGTGTCACTTGGTCTCTTTTTGCGAGTAAGCAAAGCTGTGTGGAAGGCACCACATGCTACCTCGTAAACTGTCCATTGAAAGTCCTGGTTAAATGTTCCAATCATTTCAGGCCGGACCCTGTCCTCTGTATCTCCTAAGCCTAACTGACCGCGGCTATTGCCACCCCAAGTGTAGCATACGAGATCATCACCTTCATGCTTTTCTCCAGCACTGACTAAGGCTACAACATGCTCGTTTCCGCACGCAACATTGACAACAGTATAGCCGTGGAAATCCCAAACAGGAATCGGAGTAAAACAACTCACAAATGTCAAGCTTCCATTCTCATTGCTATTCTCCTGTGGACAATTGCCCCACATCCAAAGGGCTCCAAGATTATCTACAGCAAGCGACATCATCCCCCCAGCTTTCACTGCACAAATCTATGGTAGAAAAAGCGATGAGAAGAACGTAAAACATATCATTTGAAATCCGGCAACAATTAACTCGTGTCATACCTTCAACGATGTTTTACTCTTCCTCTCTGAGTCCAACTCTAAATTGGCTTTTGATTGACCAGGGGAGCCCAATTCGAGGAACCGCTCCATCAATTGAGGTGCCAAAGAAGTCTCCCCGTGCATACCAAGTTGGCCATCCATATGGCAGTCAAGGTGTACACCAAAATACATACATAACGAAAGCACATAAAGTAGATGATACTGGTGCAGCTTCAAAAACAAATCTTACCACAAATTCCACTGTAAAAAGGATACATGTATTATAACCCCATGACCAAACTGATCCATCATCTGCAATCCATAGGAGTCGAGGAAATAAAATTTAGATCAACTACTAACAATGGGCATTCAACGTGGCATTTTAACAAACATCAAAAAGACTATTCCAACAAAAGAGCAAGCCTAAATCATTTCGCATAAAACCCAAGAATATAATGAACCTGCAAGAGCAAGATTGTGATAAGCGCCAGCAGCGACAGCCATGAACTTAAGCTCCGAGTCCTGGAACTTGACCCGTACCGGGAAAAGTTCGTCGGATTCTGACCCAGTCCCAAGCCGTCCAAACATTCCTCTGCCCCATGAATACACGTACCCATCCCCTGCGATTTTCCATCCATTGCAAAATACATTATCAAAATCACCCCCATTTAAAAAAAATCCTATCACTATATACAGATCAGAGAAGAAGAAATTGAACTAATAAACGAAAGCTTTTTGCTTTTTGTTTACCAGAGAGAGCTAAAGTATGAGCTTCACCGGCGGCAACTGCAATAACTTTGCGCGGCATGCTGCCGGAATCGGAGACAGACCCGGCATCGGATTCCATTATTTCCGGCGAATATAGAGCTCAATTTTTATGTAGTCGACGGAGCTAATAAAACATATGAAACTGATAAAAAAATGGCGCTGGTTGAGCATGAAATAGAGCGCTTCATTGATGTCTGAAAATGCTTGAATTGTAATTATCTTGAAGCTTTGGGGATACTTTTGGAAGTCCATATTATTTAGTTATATGAGGGTCATTGGTCCCTTTACTATACTCAAATATTTAATTTAGTCCTATACTTTAATTTTATATTATTTAATCACTAAAATTTTTGCAATATCATTAATTAATCTAAATAATTAACAAAATCAACTATATTCTCTAGAAGATTGATTTTTTTTAATTTAGACGAGTCAAATCAAAAAAATTAAATGATCGATTAGGGTCGAGAGGAGTTAGGGTTTATGGTGAAATATCATACTCGACTCGAAAGTAATTATATAAGTGACCTTTATATATTTACGTATAATTGCTACAATACCCTTTATCTATATTTTTCAGTTAGATCTTCAATTTACTTAATAAAATGAGACATTACATGTATATTTAAGTTGGGTGTGGGTTTTACCTTAAAAATGTGTTGGGTTTCGGATAGGGTGAAGTTTTTGTAAAATCGAGTCGAGTTGCGCGACGGAAGAAAGTTGAATTTGGGTGAACTAAACATCCGACTTAACTTGACCTGTGACATTTCTTATTGAAATAAATATTTCGAGAAAAAAATTGCATTAACAATTTAACCAAAATAATTCAAGATATTATTATTCTAACTAACTAACTAATATTACAGAAAAACAGAAGGATCAATAACACTAAATAAAAAGTATAAAGATTAAATCTCTAGTTTGAACATAATAAATGGACCAAAACGGCAATTTAACCTTTCTAAACTCCAAAACAAAAACTGTCATAGTCGAATGTAAATTTTCAACATGCATTTATCAAAAGAACAAAGGTTATCTTAATATGTGACCAAAATGGATTGAAATTTGACCAACTTCCGAATAAAATAAAGTAAAAGTTTATATGTTTTAAGTTAAATTACGTATTTAGTATCTAAACTATCAGTTTTAGTCTTTTTTAGTACTTAAACTTTTGTTTTTCTTAAACTCATACCTAACGTTTTTAGTTTTTAGTTTATTTCAGTATCCTCCATTAAAAACTTTACGTGTTTAGTATATAAACTATTAGTTTTTGGTCCTTTTTAATATCTAAACTTTCAATTTTTTAAAAAAATTTAACGTTAAGTTTTTAATAGGTATGAAAACAAACCAAAACTGATAATTTAGATATGGTTTTAATTTTTTTAAAAATTTAAGTACGAAAACAGACCAAAACTGATAATTTAGATATTAAACTCGTAATAATCACATATTTTACTTTTGACTTTTGAGATAATATTTTTATAGAATGAATGGGATTTTGTCTTTTTAATTATTAATGGAATTTAACTTATTAATAACGTATATACACGTTAAAAATTTCGATATTTAAATTCAATACTTTTATGGGGATTTATATTTCTTTTTATTAGTGAAATCACTTGATAAATTATATTTTTTTTAAATCTCAATTAACGACATACAACAATTTTTATTGGATAAATTACGTACTTAGTACCTAAACTATTAGTTTTATCCGTTTTAATACTTAAACTTTTAATTTCTTTTAAAAACCATACATAAAGTTTAGTTTTCGTTACATTATAGTATCTTGCCTTTAAAAACTTTAGTTTGTGTTTCATTTGTCTACTCCCATTCAAAATTTAACGTTAAGTTTTGAAGAAAAAATGAAAGTCTAGGTATTAAAACGGACCAAAAATGATAGTTTAGGTACTAAACGCATTAAGTTTTTAATGGCGGGTAGTAAAATGAAATGAAAATTAAACGTTAGGCATGGTTTTGGAAAAAAAATAAAAGTTTAGATACTAAAATAGACCAAAACTGATAGCTTAAGTACTAAATGTGTAGTTTACCCTTTTTAAAATACGTTTGTAAAATGAAAAGTCCACAATTATTGTATAAAATAATTATCTCGGATTAAGATGGCGTTGATGATAAGTTATATGATTTGTCAAAGAATATATAATCTTATCGTAAAGAGTTGTAATATCTAAGGTTGTTATTTGTGAGAAACATCTGTCTTGTAATAGATTGTGGTATTATTAATTAATTAATTAATTAATTAATAGAACAATGCCTATCCTTAACCATGTTATTAATTTAAATATGGTCTAATTTAATTTATCATAAAAATTAACAATTTGAATTCGTTTTATCTCGATCCCGGCACGAATTAAGTTAACTCAGCGATTAAGGGAATCGTTGTTATTTATAGAGGTCTCGTGTTCAAGCACCAGAGACTGCAGGGTATTTGAGTCTTCATTATCAATTGATTGAGAGTCTTTAAAATATATACTTCCACCTGTAAGCCCCTTAGATTAATAAACAAATTAATTTGGTATCCAATTTATTGATTGATTAGTTTAAATCGGATTTTGTAAAGGTTCATTATGAGGTGATCGTCCCAACTCAGTTTGTTTTATTCGAAATCATCTAGATTCAAGCCTATGAAATTATTTTAGTGAATATTGGGTCGGATTTTAACCTAGCCAATTAAATTTTTGGATATCAAATGTTTTTTTAATGAAACGAATATCAAATTTATTTCAGGGTGTTAAGAAAAGGTGAATTGAAAAATTTAGGGTCCAACAGTTGTCGACAACAATAGTTGATGGTGGCCGACAATGAGCGACTATAATGTTGATCGAAGACGATGGTTAGAAATTTTAGTTGAATTTAAAGATTAAATTGATATTTTGTCTAAAGTTCGAGAATTAGATTGATATTTTATTTAAAACTTAAGAGTTAAATTAAAAATATTTTTTAGTAATGTGTCACATCATCAAATGAACTATATTTTAACGTTTAAATAATTAAATTATTATAAATTTATAATATAAATAACTAAAACGTTATTTTTTAAAAATCGATTATAAGAAATAAATAAAAATGAAACAAACATAACCATTTTGTGTACTTTTACCCCCCAAAAACTTTAGACTCTCTCCCCGTAGAAACGCGGAGAACATATTTCGTTTCTTACAGCACAGCAGTCCGGGTTTCAAATCAAGGTTTAAAAATGTGATTTCGTTCGTGAAATAGCGGTTTCGTCGTCGTCCGAATTACATGCTACACCCACAATAGCGTATGCGAAGGCCACAATTACGATAAATCCAAAATGAACGAAAACGCGACCGCGATTTGAACACAGCAGCCAATCCGCCGGTCGTTCCCACGTTGCCCTCATGCCTACCACCGGGATGCTTTCGTTAAAAAAATTTTGCTGGTATCAATTTCAATCATCGTTTTCATTATTAATCCTCATTATACGGATTGGAGTAATATTAATCAAGAACACTCTTTCCTACCATTTTTCATTTAATCTTCAGGGTCGTGCAATCTTTGCAAGTGGAAGCCCATTTGACCCCTTGAATACAATGGTAAAGTCATCGTGCCCGGCCAGGTAAGTACCGTCCGTCCCTTGAGCGTTTTCGGAGCTCGAAAATGCAGTTTCTTTAAACCCAAAGTTCGTAAATCTAACATCTCTGCATGTTTGCAAATCTAGGCAAACAATGCTTACATTTTCCCCGGATTCGGTTTGGGGTTGATAACATCCGGTGCGAACCGTGTACATGACGACATGCTTTTGGCAGCTTGTAAGTGCATCGACCCATCTTTGGTTATTTTTCTAGCCATGCAAATGGACTTAACTGGTTTTTCCCCCCTACTGCAACAGCAGAAGCTTTGGCCTCACAAGTGACAGAGGAACAATTTGAGAAGGGATTAATTTACCTACCGTTCTCCAATATCAGAAGTTCTTTGTTATTTTCTTGTATCCTGGGCTCATTGCATAGTTATTAATAGGGTCTATTTGATTTTTTCTTTCTTTTCTCTTCCTATGGAAGCTGTTAGAATACTCTCTTTTATATTTGAAATGAAAAGCAACAATAATGTTCAGCCGTTTAACTCACTGTTGGGAGTGATTATTTGATCGAGTCGAGTAGAAAAATTGTCACGCCCAAGTCATAAGCATTCTGAATATCGAGCTTCGAAAATTCTCTCATTTCTGCATTTCCAAACTGACCATAACAAAGCAATGAATAAAGTACCCCGAACCTGTGATCCAGCAAGCTCGGGCGATTTACAATGATCTCTTAACCATAAAGCCGTGATGATCAACCCGCAACTCTATCCAAATCTATCTCACAAAGGGGCAGTGTCTAAAGAATACACCAGTTTGGATAACAACCAGCAAGGCAAGGCTACATTCCATACAAGATATAGCTCCCTAATTATATTATTATATACACAACATAGGCTCTTACAGTCCATGGTTACCAATTAGTTGGCGAAAATTTTACTACGTACTCGTGAACATATGGATTTTATCGCATTTCATTCGTAACTGAACAACCCCTTATACCCCAAAACGATTTAGGCTTCAACTTCTTGTTTGTTGCGGTGAAAAGCCACCCCATTTGGGTTTCACATGTCATGCAGTTTATTATTGTCCATGCATACCTGTGGGGCATGGCAATTGAGTTATAATTATGATTATAAACAGAACAATACAAATATAATGTTATGAAACACATTCTTCATATTAATTGCAAAACACGGCTATTCAGTAAATTATGGTTAAACAATGGAAATCATGAAAACCGAACAAGATCATATCACCTTGTTCTTGACAACTATATCAATATGGCATGTTTCCAGCCCTATCGTCTTTAAAACAACTGTTTACCGGTCATTACTGGTTACTAACTGAAGCTATTCTACGGAATTGATTTCCCAGCTAGAATTTAAACATAAGTTGGGTTATCCCGTAAGGAGACGTGCTCTCATGAAAATAACATTGACAATCTCAAAGTTCATGTTGACCCCAGACAAATATGATAATCCAATATGTGATGGGAAGACCTCAACTACCCTGTTATTTAGCATAACATGATTGGGTTCATGTTAACCTTTGAGAAAAGAGTGTAATAACATACCCAGGAAACCAGCTGTACTCTTTATGCGGTCGGCCTCTGAGAGCTAAACCCTTTGCTTTTCGAAAAGTCATTACCTCATGCACATAGCCATATGAGTTGACATAAGCACCCAGAGGACCATCAGCAGACATCACCAACATATCACTGCGCCTAGCAATAACAGTCTAAAGAAAGAAACTGGTAAAAACATAGCCAATAGCACTGCATACTGTACATTAATGAAGGAGAAAGATGCAACCATATGACTGAGGGTATACACACACAAGAGAGAGGAATACCTTACAGATCTTGCAACAAACACAGTCGAGTCTTTCAAGTAACTCAATTTCTCGGCGCAATCTATGTGAAATGCCATCAATTTCCAGAAGCTCCTGCCTTGTAGGGTCAGAGATGGGAATTTTACTTGCAATATAAAAAGATAAAAGATCAGGCTTATTCACAAAACCATCCATGCTTGGCGTCCCAACTACTTGTTTCCACATATCTGCAAAATTAGCAAATATAAAACATTTATCATTGTTGATACATGTGAACTAGACCAGACCAAGAAGAAACAACTAACTCAAAAAACTCTAATTACAAAAACACAAAGTGCGATAGAGACATAGAGATATAACAAATCAACACTCCCAACAAATGACCAAAGAAGTTGCCTTAAAATAAATTCTAAAACTCAGCCCTGAACCAGGAATCACTGGCAGAAAAATCTTTAAAGCATGAAAACTGAATGACGATGTGGCAAATGAGCAAAGGAAGACAACCAAAATCAAATTGAGATACCTGCTGCCTTCTGAGCAAGACAAAATGAGTCATACATATGATATACCCAAATGGGCCAGAATGCTCTTGACACTGTACTTGAAAGATGAGACCTTGGTCCTGCCACTTTATGAGTCATGGATTTGGTCCCAATTCCCAAGTCAGAATTTCTAACTTGTTTTGTATGGCCAGAAGTTGATGCACGTATGGAGGAAGGGTCATTTGTACATGGACTTCCTAATTGGCTGTCTGAAAATTTACCGTCATCACCACTACTTGTTGACTCATCCGTCCCATCAGACTCATAGCCGGCACCAATTGCAGCTTGATGAATTCTCCGTTCTGTTTGAGAAAGTTCATTCTCAAAGCTTTCCTCAGAATTTGCTTCTGAATCATTTTCATCATTCCTTCGTCCATGTGATAGAGCATGTAAAGATAGCATATGCTGGTTTCGCAGGTTACTCAATGGCACCAACTTTGCACATGCATCGCGAGGAGTTCTAAATGGCACATCTTCTTCAATAATTTGAACCTCGCCACAAGGCTAAAGAGAATGATAATTTATAAGCAAATCAACATTCTATCACACAGGTACTCCAACAAAAAAGATATTTGCGAATATTTTTTTTAAGAAAAAAGAACATTTTTTTCTTACCGCCCCTTCAGCATCAACCCAACAGCGTCTTAAGCGAAACCGCTGCCGGCCACGAGTAACTACATTAATACTACCATCCTCTACGGGACGATATTGACGAATCTGCAAAAATTAAAACATTTAGTTAAAAATACAATAAGCCAAGCTTAAAATAATTATGAATTCAGAGTGGACAAAGTGCTCAGAAGATTAGGTACGACATGACAAACAGAAATAACCTAAACACTAAACTTTCTCAAGTCCAGTAAATAGGCTTATCCACAAGTCAGTTTGACAGCGGATGTGCATTTGTAACAGCATTTTTTCTCACCTATTTATTTCCACCTATACCTAAACATGTTCACTGCATTTGTTAAAATCTTGAATAACCTTTATCTTCATATATGCAACTGATGTTTTTGAAAATAGGGCGGTTTCTTCAAAGATTTAACAACTCTTACACAATGCTGTAAGCTGCTAGAGGTAAAATGTCATACTATGCAAAATAAATGCCTTTCAACCAGAAAATAAACGAACAGGAGGTTTCAGCATATATACCTCTGCAGTTGTCCCTATTTTTGCTTGCCTTACTGGTCCATCCACAGGGTCTCTGTAAACACGAACCTGGGCAAAGGATCAGATCTAGTTTCATTATCCAAGAATAAAGATAAAAAGGAGAGAAATTGCATATGGAGAAAAGTAATACATAGAAGACATGATGAGGAGTCACCTACCACACCCATGGTGTAAGGAGCATCAACCTGGGTCATTGCTCTGTTAATCACAGCTACAAAGTTGGGTTCAATAACTCTAAGGGGAAGTGTGGCCTCTGGGAACAGGACTACCCCTGGTAAAAATTTAAGTCATTTAATATGTTAATACAAAATATAAAGATTATTAATAGAAGTAAGAAAACATCCAGACTAATATGAAACCATGAGATTTAAAAACTGGTCTTTCGAAACTGATTACAAAGCTCAAAAGCTATAATAAATGGATTAGACTTGTGTAAAGCGTTTAGGAAGCCACTCTATCCAGTGGCACACAGGTCAAAGTTCGATAAATAAGTTGAATATCTAATGCTCCTAAAGTTCTCTGATCTTACCGATCAATAACAACACTAGACCTTAATCAATCAATATCCTTCAAAACACCACAATGTATGAACATATATAATCATGAAATCTGAAACAAAAAATAAACAGCGTACGAGTATAAATACCTTCAAGATAGTATAATGGGAGGTTCACTATAGCACCACCTTCCCAAAATGAAGATCTGTGATGCGTATCATCGACATCTGTCATATGAATTTTGAGGAAGCAAGTCTCAAACCGTTCAGATAACCAAAAAGATTGTGTCGGTAAATACAGATTATATGATTACCGCCGAGATATGAATGTAAGGAAGTCAATTGGGTATTGAAGGTGAAGTCGTCTGTCGAAGCATAGCCTCTACAATATGAACAACAAAGTTACAAGCCGTTAACGAATCATAGCAATCGAAAACTGAAATATCAATATAAATTATATCTTTCACAAAAAAAATAACAAAAACAGGAGTCTCCGAATAGTTCAATCTCTTAATGAATTTAAAATTTTCCTAAACCCTCAGTTCAAACCAAATTTAGGAACTCCAGGATGAACGACAATAAATTATGAATGCAATGAGTGAAGAAACGAATCAAATTGGGGAAATGAAAGGAAATTTGAAAACGATTAGGGTAAATACGTGGCATCGGGATCATCGTCGGACGATTCGAGAAGACTATCGACTTCTTCGACCTGCAACTCTTCGTGATCGAGCTCTAGAATGTGTTGGATCTGTCGCCTCTCAATTTCGTCATCCATTTCCTTCTTTCGAGTGTTTCGGGTTTGCCTTTCCCCTTTTTAGGGTTAGTGATATAGGAATTACTATCGATATCTATTTATCGGGTAAACTACAGAATTAGTCATCAACTTATTATTGTTTTTATATTTTAGTCAACGAACTATTTACTTACTGGGAAAATTACACCATTAGTCACAAACTTATTATCTTTTTATATTTTAGTTACCAAACTATTTTTTGTGTGTGTGGAAGTGTCGCTAATGGTATATTTTTTTCTTATTTTGATCCTTAGTCATTAAAAAATAACCACGAGACTGATGTATATTTTTTTTGGTATAATAATAAGATTAACCCTAAACGTTTGCATAAATGATCACTTTGTCTCTTATCATTTTTTAACATTTTCGGTCTAAACGTTTCATTTTAGAGTAAAATGTCCTCTGGGTCCTCTGGTTGGATGAAAATTGACAATTGACTAAGTATCAATGTTTCAATGGACGTGATAAGTTTATTTGTCTTCAAACAAGTTCATCCGATAGGTGGTTTCATCCACGAATGCTCCTCGACGTCCTTTCCATGAATTTGACTCGGGCTTAACTCGATGCGGCCATAGCTTTTGCCGAGCTGTAGCTGCGATGAAGGATGAAATCAGCCGACATTATAAGGTCATTGAAGATCAACTCATTCCTTTTATTCCGTACCCGCTAAATGATCGACGCAAACATAGATGACTACGTTGGCTCCCCATTTCTACAAGGTTTCTTCAATACCAGATTGTTCTCAATCCACGTTTGAGGTCACTATTAAAGTTATACGGTTCACATTTACAATGTTAAATTATCAATTTCTCTCCTAGCGTATTTTCGTATTAATTTAACCTTTAAAATTGTTTAATTTAATCAATATTTACCTTTGTCCGTCTTGACTAACAAAACTGTTAGTTTCTGATGACGTGGACACCAGGTATTTCCACGTGAGATATCTTTGATGATGTATAAACTAGTTGACATGGTAAAAAAAAAACAAAATAACACGGGCTAAAAAAACAAAACCCTAAGGTGGCATTTGGTTCGTTGGAATGTTTATGAGGGAATTGTAATCTGTTGGAATTGGAATCCAATTCCATATTCTGTTTGGTTCGCAGACATGTCAGATGAATTTGATTTCAGTAATGTAAAATGACAGAATTACCCTTCTTGTTTTTTTACTTTATTTTAGTTTATTTTACAACTTACATGTAGTAATATATTATAAAAATTAAAAAATATTAAATTTTCATTTTATTGATTGATTATTCATTTCAATAAATTATAAAAATCATGCTAATAAACATTATAAGTTAAAATCATCGCAATCAAAATATGTTAATAAGTTACTAAAAGATAGAGCAATATTTCGATACATTCCAATCAGAGTATGTTAATTAGTTACCAAAAAATATACCAAAAACTATTTTTATTCAATATATGAATTAGAAACTCGACCCGACACGACTCAAAATAATAAAAAATTATTTTTATTCCATAAAAACATTGACTTAATTGAAAAAAATTATATATAGAGGGGTATTATTGTAATTATTCCTAAATATACAAGGTAAAATTATATTATTTTTTTCGGGTCGGTCCGGTTTTATTCACCCTAAACCCAAACCCGACCCGACCTGACCCTAATATCACACTTAAAAAAAACCCGAACCGACTCGACCCGAATATCACACTTTAAAAACCCAACCCGACCCGAACAAAATAAAGTTTCATCCGACCCGACCCGAATATATGAGTTAGAAATCCGACCCGACCCGACCCGAAATAATAAAAAATTATTTTTATTTAATAAAAACAGTGACTTAATCCGACCCGACCCGAATTATATATATTTTTGGGTAGGTCCGGTTTTTTCACCCTAAACCCGAACCCAACCCAACCCGAATATATGAATTAGAAACTCGACCCGACCCGAAATAATAAAAAACACTGAGAGAACAAATTCCCAAAATCACGATTGAATGAAAACTTCAGAATGTATCTTCAACCCAAAAAACAGAATTGAATAATCTCCCAAAATCGTACAAGTACCCTAAAATCGAGAGAGAATAAGTAGGTTCGTGAATAATCGAGAGAAGGTTTGTGGGTTGTGTTAGAGCAACCCAGAATCTATCTTGTCATGGTCCCCATGCTTGAACAGCATAAAGAGATCATAATTTCCATAAAACAAAACAACAGTTCTTCTAAAGAGACATGCCTCATCAGTGGCTTCTGCAAAGTATCTGACCTAGCACCATCCTGCGAACTTACAATCTTTCCGACTGAGATACTCGCCTTGCAATTCAGGTTCTGCACATTGGTACTCGAAACAAATACACTTTCAGCAAGTTCTACGGCTGCCGCTTGAGCACATGCTTTGACCACCTCTTGATCAACCTCAACACAAACCCCTTTCCAGTTCAAAATTCTCCTAGAAGATCCAATTTCTGGATCATTGACCAAAGCTGATGCAAAATCTGCAATTTTCTCTTGATCCAATCCAGCTTTACATGTTCCCCTCATTTCAGAATTATGAACTTCAAATGAAGAAAGCAACTCCTGCCTAGCTGGTTCTCTCATCTGCTCAGCTGATTCTACATTTCTAACCACAAATGAATTGCCTGCAGATTTGGTATCAGCATCCCCAGTTTCTGGCCGCTGTACTTTAACTGCTTGAACGTTACTAATATGAGATGTTCCACTAGACCTGCTTGTAATAATATCTGGAGAGACCGACTTCATTCTCGGGGGACTAATCGAGGCTCGCTTCTCAGGCTTGCTCAAATTTTCGTCAACTGACGCATCAGCTTATTTTCTCTTAATTTGTCTTTCTGCAGAGCCTGAGCGAGACCTCGTGGCTTCTTCGCAAGTTTTTCCAGTATGCTGGCTTGGATGCCTCAATGATCGAGACCGCCTATATCCATCAGGGAAAGCAAAGGCAGGGAGCTGCCTCCTACGAACATGAGAAACATAAATATCCATTCCTGGTTTCCGGTACACGTACATGCTTATCTCTTGTCTGAACTCATCAACTGTTCCACGAATGTCAAATTGTTGACCTTCTAGACCACTCGCTCCCTCTTTCCTCTGCAAGCCCATGAAGAAAACACAATGTGGGATTTGATTGGATGTATCGACATACTCATTTGGGTGAGGGTGACACTGCAACATTCCATTTGTGTCCCGCTCTATCTGCATTGTGAAAAGGAAACATCATCTTCAAAGTCATATTAATGATTAAATAATGCAAGCAGCTCACAGCTCAGTAGAGTAAATGGACAAGTTAATGTTCCACCTTCAAGGTAAGCCGTCTAAGTCGCGACTCCACCCAGCCTTTCCATGACAACAAATCATCAGCATCTGCAGAAAGTATGTCAACTTGTAGATAGTTTTTGTACGCCTCAAAAAAAAAGATGGGGGTCAAACAAAGCACTCCATTGAGCTTTGTTTAGCTCAACCTCCTACAAGAATAAAATGACCAAGTCAACAATATATGTCATCTACAGTTCAAACTACAATATAGGCAGCTGGAACATAAAAAAAGAGCCAAGTGCTCTCACCTCACATGCTCTATTACCAAATCGGAACTGTTCCATCATAACACGAAGTGTGCTTGAAGAGACATTGTAACTGGAATTCATGCAAGGGTATGCAGGAGTTATTATAGGCATTTGATGGCAGCGGTCCCGAGGATTCTTGCGAGGATCCCAGATGGGAAAGCCAAGTTCATCCTCTTCTAGGGTTTGGCCACCTCCATTGAGTATATACTCTAAAAAACCGAGATACCAGCACACTAGGTACCGCATTGGGATAAAGTTGGCACAAGTTTAAGGATTTGATCAGCAACCCTACACCATTAAGACTCCGAACAGTTTGCTCATCAACATTGTGCAGCACAGATTGGCGTGAAATGTCAATGTCCTGTTGAGTAAGTATCATAGGAACCATATATTACGCAGCAAATTTCACATGATGAAAATTCTACACTTGCCAATCCCAACTCCTTGTCAACTTCATTTTGTGAACAAACAAAATCATCCAAATATGCTGTTTCTTTTTAGATTCTATGCCAGAAGTTGATTTGCTTTAAGAAGAATGATAAGATGATTTGGTTAAAAGAATACCATATAAAATTTAACGTTAAGCTTTGGAAAAAAAATGAAAGATTAAATCGATGGTTTAGGTACTAAACGTGTTAATATTTTTATTGACGGGTACTAAAATGAAATAAAACTAAACATTAGGTATAAACTTAATTTTTTTTTTCTTTTTCCCAAATTAAGTTATAAATTAGGAAACGAATTATATCATTAAAGAGATATAAAACAAGTGATATTATTTTAAAGGGTAAAGTACACAAATGGTCCCCCAACTATAGGGAATTGCTCTGTTAAGTCCTCTAACTATTAAATGTTACAAAATGGTCACTCGACTATTCATATGTTCTAAGCTCGTCATTTTCTGTTAAAAAAAATTAGCGATCTTCTGAGTTGGACGTTAACATGTTGGCAGAGATATGATAAAATTCGATCCTAAAACTATTTGAGTTGTGTTTTGTGTATTGACACAATGTTTAGATTATGTCGATGAATTAGTGCTTGAAATATTATGTCTCAAGCCAATGTTTGAAAGCAATAGACATCATTTAAATATGATTTTATCATGTCGTAATCAACAGGTTAAAGTCCAACTCAAAAGACTTTCATTTTTTAATAGAAAAATACAAGTTTGAAACATATAAATGGTTAAGTATCCATTTTGTAACATTTAATAATCGATGACTCAACAAAATAACGCTATATAGTTAGAGAATCATTTTATAACTTTAAATAGCCAAATGACTTAACAAAGTAGTGTCTTATAGCCGAGAGATCATTTGTATATTTTAAATTTTTTTAATAAATTTAAGGGTAAACTACACATTTAGTACCAAAACTATTAGTTTTTGTCTATTTTAGTAACAAAACTTTTATTTTTTTTCAAAATCATACCTAATGTTTAGTTTTAATTTCATTTAGTACCTCATCGTTAAAAAT